GACATATTATGGTTGACATGATTTGTCAATAAGCTTAAGAATTATTAATGTTTGAAATATGAATATACGGTTGCAAAACAGTTATACCAAAACAAGCATTGAGGCGTGAGCAAGGTCGCGCAACCACTATAAAAGATGTTTGCCAAAACACAAAAGCCATGAGAGTGCAGTCGAGTAATAGGCCATTTGATGCGTCTCGATACCGTTCACTTTCATTTCCCATGTCTTGGAACTGAAATATTTTTATGGGAACTAACACTTTCAATAGACATTTCCAGCTATCGTGTAATTTTTTATTTAGACAAGAGAGACGAAATATATCACTATAGCTCAAAAGAGCATACAAGTTGTAACGAGAAGATATTATGATTTTGATCCAAATGATCAAGACCATCCACTAACATGTCACGCTGAAAACGTTTTCATACAAAAAATACATGAAACATTTGCACTAAACACCCTTCCAGACCAGTCCAAAATGTTGATTTGACATCATTCGACATTGTTGGGTCTGTTTGAACATCAGGTTTGGTTATGTTGGCTCATGTTGGAAGATGTTGGGTCATGTTTGACTTTCAAGTTCAAAATTTTGATCCAACATCGTTCGACAATCTTAAACCAACAAAATGTTGGACGCAGTTATAATGGCTTGATCGAGTCTTAAAGCTTTACCAGGCATTGTACATTTATTATCATTCATAATATAATAGCTATATACAAGGCACTATAATATATATTCAGTATCTTCTCAATAGATAAATTTGTTTTAAATTGATTTATATATCAAGTTCTAGATAGTATTATCATGACTATAATCGCAACATTACAAACTGTTAATTTGTTTGTAGCGAGTAAAACCAATACAACAGAAGTTGCATTCTGTTTGTTTCTCTGTGACATATATTGTCACTAATACACATCAATGAAAGGCAGGTTTTTGTTGGTAAAAGGGTTGCAGTGGCGCCACTTCTAATTTCATTCATGGCAGGAAGATATATTATCTCCACGTATAACCTCCCAAAGTGAACGCTTCAACAGATCTAACACGACAGGTGGTCTTTCTCCGCCCACCCATCACAACAATTGTATTGCCCGTGATAACTGCACAACATCCATTTCTTTTTTCTAACATGCATAGATGGCAATTCAGTGGTGCTACCCGTTTTGGAATCATACATAAAAACTTTTTTTGATTGGCCACCCTTATCGAAACCTCCAATAAAAAACTGCTTGATCTCCCCAACGAACACCTGTCATACTATACACGGCACAGGGCAATAGAGGCATTGCTTTAAATTCATTTGCACTGAGATCAAACTCTAATACACTTTCAAGTAAATTATCATCGGTTCCACTTGATCCTCCAAAAATCAAGACTTTGTGCTCAAATGCAATCACCGTATAATGTTTCCTTGCCGATTCAGGCATTTTACACAACTGCTTACATGTGTAAGGTGTAGTAAGACAGATTTCTGTGCAATAATCAGTCTTTTTGCAGGCGCAAAGAAGAACTACACGGTTCTGGTAAGCTACGGAGCAGAGTTCATCGCATGGTAGGAAATTTTGGCCACAGCTTTATCCCACTGCAGCAGACCTTCGTTCAAATATAATATCTCAATTACACGACTATCACATCAGCCAGCAACAAATACTTGATTCTCGTAAACAAACGAAGTTGCTCCTACTCGACCACCGTTCATCAACGAAAATCGCTCAACAGATTTCAAAGCATTCCCATCACTGTCCCAGCCACCATGCAGCTACCAATATGTCCGCCATTAATGCATTCGCTGCGTAGTTGACAGCATGCAGATGACATTTGGCTGGCATTTTCAAGGAAGCGTCATTTTTCAGACATCTGGACCATAAGCGCCTTTACTTGGTCAACATCGACTGCCATTCCTTCCATTTTCTCTTTCATTCCCTCCATATATCTTGCTCGATCTTAACACAAGGTTATATGACACTTGACTTTCCTGTACTCGCAAATACTGTGCTATCCGAGGTGCGCTCGTGATGAACAATATCTCGCTTATTAATTTAAATTCCTTGTTTGAGCATTTCACTGGCGCGAAGGCGAATAAACTCTTGACAACCTCGATTGGAATAATCGCACTTTATACCTTGAGTCGAGATAAATAATTGCTCAACACGCACGGGGCTCGACGAAGTGTTTCGACAGTCGTCCTCGTTACATTTTGGGCAAGTATGCGAGTTCACATTTAAATGTTCAGACGCGACAAAATATACATGCATTTGTTCATTATTTCTACACATCATGGGTTCCTTCAGAACATTGCAGCAGATATAGAGCAATGAAAGTGGGCATCAACAGCTTTCTAAGAACGACTATCTTCGTAGCCATATTTCTCTTCCGCTGGGCAACAAATCATTCTCGACTGAAGACACAAATGTAAGCCGTGTGTTCGGTTACATATCTTTTTATTCTGGTGTCCCTGACCCTAATCCAATGTTCTTTATACCGATTTTACTCCTGAAAACACTCACTGTACGTCGTCACATAATTTGGAAGCGAGACAAATATATAAGTTATCAAACAACACAAAAGCCATGAGAGTGCAGCCGAGCAGGCTTTTTCGGTTATTAACCTAATAGAAAAAACTTTTAAAACTATAGAGTACTTGTCTAATTTCTGTTGTGGATCTTTATTTCCATGTTTCGTTTTTCAGATATAGCGAGTAGCAAAACAATAATTTTCCTGGCGCAATTAAAAAAAATGGCTTCCGGCTCACGTTTTTTATTGAATTATTGAATTGTTTTGTGGAAAATTTTATGTTTGATCTCTGATTCTACTAAAACAATTAGATTACACGCTCTCGATTCGCCCTCATCAACTATATCACCTCATAGAAATCTGGAGCTCGTAAATCGTAATCTAATTGAAATACGCAAATGACGTCAATTTGACGTCATGTTAGTTGCATGGCTCGAAAAATTAACGAAAAATGGAAATAAAAATCATTCTATATTTCCCTTACTTTCCATTTTTGCAATCGATTTGACACAACTTTGCCTAGTAAATTAAAGTGCCTATGCGACAATTTTTTTATGATTGAATTGCAAAGTTCATTTAAAATCATAATATAACTTGTTTTCTAAAACTTTGTAATCTTTCCTGTATGTCCAGATTTTCGACTTTGTTTGATATACAAATGTGACTTAAATGACGTCACACTACATAATGCGTTTTACAGAAGACTGTGTTGTAGCTTGTTAAAATTCTCATTATCTCAAATTTACAGACCAAATGATCGCTTTGATAGCTCTTAAAGTATATCTAACTTTCAATGTCAGTGGAATTATCACATGTTTGGCAAGGAAACGTTTTCTTTCTGAAAACTCATTATGCAGTGTGATGTCATTCAAGTCACATTTGTATATCAAACAAAGTCGAAAATCTTGACATACAGGAAAGATTACAAAGTTTTAGAAGACAAGTTATATTATGATTTTAAATGAACTTTGCAATTCAATCATAAAAAAAAGTCCCATAGGCACTTTAATGTTCCAAACTTCATTCAGAAATTCGCAATGTTCATATATGATATGGCCTTTGTTAACGCATATAAAATTGTACGGTTCGCAAAATAGTACGAGGGAATTAAATGCAGTGGCAAAAATCGGAAAATTCATTCGCGCACTCAGTCTGGTAGTGGAAACCATGCGTATATGCTAATACCTAGCCTACAAGATATAATAATCTGCAAAAGCGTAGCTAATATTCTCACCAATTTTCTTTGCTCCATTCAGTGTTTTCTTGTTCAACCACATGGAATGTGTAAATGTTCCGTGATTTGTCTGATTTGTTTGGCGCACTGTAATGTATCACTTGTCCGTGAATAATCACCATTGCACCTGGATAAAAACAATGCTTAAATAAATTAAACCATTACGATTTATTTTATACCAAGTGTCAAAGTTGATCAAATTCTTGCATCTTACTGGAAGTGAGCGTATCACGCGAAAGTCATGAAATTCTCCTGGCAACAGCTCTAGCGGTGAACAATACTTTTTTACCAGGGGCCGGTTGTACGAAGGCCAGAATCGCTGGAATCGCAGAGTCGCAGGTTCGATAGTTGCATTTTTCGTGGCTGCTCCTGTTTTCATGCATAGTTCACAAATTATGAAGTCTACTACCACATTGGTGGTTTGCAATCAATACACCCTTCCGGAAAGTACGTCACTTTGGCTACAGAGCCTCGTTTTCGTGTATCTGACATAAGTTAAAGGCCACGTTTCAATCAAGAAAACGAGGCTCTATAGCCAAGGTGACGTATTTTCCGGAAGCGTGTATTGATTGAGATTTATAAGACCAATATATGAAGGAGGACAACACGCTCCAAATACAGTAGCTGCTAATGATATTCTTTTGTTGCCGTTCCTCCAACATGGCCGCGATGCCGTAAAGTGCAAACGAAGAATAGCCTATAGACTTAAGCGAATTAATCTGCTGCATTTCTCTAACCATCACGCAGGTGCAGGTTAAAAAAGCACGAGAATTAATATGACATTTCTAACAGACATACCTGCCTTTACTTCAGCTGGAACAAACTTGGTTAGGTCACAATCAACAGGAGGACCCTTGAACGTCGTTGCAAACTCTGATACTGCCGGGTCACGAACGAAACGATTTATAACGCCATCTGTATGTAAACAAATAATATAACAAATAAAACTTCCTACTCGTGGTAAATTTTCAATATTCGACCTAAACTTCTAGTAGTAGCCTTGATGCTCGAGTACCAATAAATAGATAGATAGAGCAAGGTGCGATAATTCGTGTATTTACGTAGAGGTATACGCCAATATTGAGCCCGTTTTCCACTTCAACCGGATCGTACCAAAACGTAGAGTATTTCTTTGTTTCGTGAGCAGTACAATGATGGAAATAATATCCGCAGACTTTTTTAAAACGTATCTTCTCTTAGTATTTTGTAAAACCGTTTTATTTTTAGTTATACAAACGTCCATGAGCGCTAGAAGTAGCACCCTCCCCCCCCCCCTCGCCTAACACAATGTCGGTTCAAACTATGATTATTGGATCACAAGTCAACATTGTAAAGAGGGAGTGGGAAATTTTAGAAATTTTTCAATTTTCGATATAGTCTGTGAATTAGTTTCCATGATTGTAGAGTGATATAGTAATGGAGAACACTCGCTGTCTCCATGCATATACTTACATTTTGCTACTACCAAATGACAAGCAAACTTTCGATTCCAAGGGTTCAAAACCGCAATTAAGTACTAGCTACATGGTAAATCTGACATGTCTTGGCATGAGATATGATTGGAATGATGGGAGTGTTGCAATGTCACCATCATGATGTAATCTTGAATTAAAGTGCCTATGCGACAATTTTTTTTATGATTGGATTGCAAAGTTCATTTAAAATCACAATATAACTTGTTTTCTAAAACTTTGTAATCTTTCCTGTATGTCAAGATTTTCGACTTTGTTTGATATACAAATGTGACTTAAATGACGTCACACTGCATAATGCGTTTTACAGAAGACCAGAGGAGTGAGGACTATACCGGCATGCAACGCGGTCAGGCGCGGTTTTTTACATATTATCGATTTCTCGCTCTGCGCCGTCATTGTTCGGTCGGCTTTCGCTGTGTTTACACCTCGAGGTTTCAAGAGATTCAGAAAAGATTTATCGAAAAAATATTGTAAAATGGTGGATTTTTGCACTATGCATGGAAACAAAGCTTCGTTTTTGGGTGGACACGAGCTTCTGTGTGTTACTGTGTGTCAAAACAGCCTTTAATTTTGATTCCGGAAGAATTACCGTGTGATGAACTTGAATGTCGTGTGGTTGATGTTTATAGTTTTACGGATAGTTCGAAGAATAGTCCTTTGTCCAGCTGTGGTTAACGGGATAAAAATTGATGAAATTGTTCGCTGATTGCGGTAGTCCTGCACTGGTACAAATTCACTGTAGTTGTGTTTTTAAGGTGAGATGATTTTTATATAAAAATTAAAATAGA